TCCAATACACTACACACACACACACACACACACACACACACACACACTCTGATTATCAGAGTTCAAGGGCCCCAAGAGTCAGTTCTAATAGAGAAGTCTGACATAATTCTCTACCATCTTACCTAAAACCAGATCAATCATTTAAATCAGGGGCCTGGGTTTCAGTGGCTTAGTAGCTCATTTAAAATTTTCCTTCTCCTCCGAAACAGAGAGGGCTGTGTGCTGCGTTTTGCTGATCCATGGGAGAATTCCTGTAGGAAGAAGAGGCTGAAACATTGGCCTAAGGTTATTAAACAGAGCTTTCATAATAAATATGTCGATACCATTTCTGAAAGATTTGAATATTTCTCTCTCACAGACATATTGTTCAATTTTATTAGAGGAAATCATTCTGGTATCCTATTGGCATTGTTTAATTTTTGGGTATAATCTTAAGGTCCTTGATTTTAATGCTGTGGGAAATGAGATTCAGAGATGGAATAACTTGCCTTCCTTGACATTAACCGAGATAAGCTCCTGTTTTCAGAAGTTACAACCTTGGCTGGGCACGGTGGCTCATGCCTGTAATCCTAGCACTTTGGGAGGCCGAGGTGGGTAGATCACGAGGTCAGAAGTTCGATACCAGTCTGGCCAATATAGTGAAACCCTGTCTCTACTAAAAATACAAAAAATTAGCCAGGTGTGGTGGTATGCACCTATAATCCCAGCTACTCAGGAGGCTGAGGCAGGAGGATTGCATGAACCCGGGAGGCAGAGGTTGCAGTGAGCTGAGGTCATGCCATTGTACTCCGGCCAGGGTAACAGTGCAAGATTCCATCTCAAAAAAAAAAAAGTTAGAACCTCTTCAAATATTTCACTTTAGGCATGTGTTTTAAAAATGACAGTTGAATATGGTTGAGAGCTCAGTTGCTAAATCTGTGAAACAACTTGTAACACATGTTTAACCAAATAAAATTATTTTCCCCAGCTCATGCTGGGCTGACAGCTTCCAAAGACTGTGTTCACCTTCATTTTCTCCTCATAAAAAGGGGACTATAGCTATTTTTAAACCTGGGGGGGCGTTGAAGAAGAGAATGTAAATTATAAATCTAGGTTAGTTGAATTTATTCAAGAAATTGCCAGACTGAATATGAATACTTGTGGAGTGTAAGTGAAACAAAAATGAAGCGTTTGGTGATCATAGATCTATTATCTATCTATCTTTCATCCCAGATTGGTTTTAGAATGAGAAGAAAAAAAGTGATTTTCTCATTTCTTACTCTTATACAATGAAGTGGTTAGCTAAACTCATACAAAGTGGCAACCTTAATGATCATTCTGTTGCAATATTGTTTACTAACAAAACAACAAGTCCAAACAAATACCAGTACAAAGAAAATCTCTATTCTGTGTAGCAAATGTTGGTCAGACTTTCACCAATGAGCCATGTATTTGAAAAGGACTTGATATTGAGAAACATCTCTGATCAGTCTTCGATGTTTACAGTAACAAGCCATAACAGATCTCCTACCACCTTTCTGTTTAGGCCCCAATATGAAATGCATATGAAAGTTATAATTTCGTATAATTCCAGGAGAAACAACCAACAATATTATTCACCTTTTTTTCCTAATAGTGAAAACCCCCAAATATGATAAATTTATGGATCCTGCTCTTTGCTGAACACAGTGCTTTACAGCTAACATGTGGTGACAAGCCATAACTCTTCTTATTTTATGTAATGAGGAACCTTAAATACAGAAATCTTTAAGGACCTATTCAAAGTCACACAAATACTGAGAAAATTCTATGGTAACAATTTTATCTGCAGGTCAGATCTGTACCTTACTTTCAATAATCAACATAGGGCCAATCGGTTGCATTATTTTACTACATACAACTTCTTATTTTAGAATCAAAGAATGCCATGCCTATATGCCACCAGGAACAACTGAACTACCTATTCAAAAACTTTCATCTTTATTCTTCTCGGAGACATTATGTTGTCATCACCTGCTGCCACTAGATGGTGCTTGTCATCGAAACAAAGGTCCTTCCTCCTTTCTGTTTTCTTTAGATGCCTATTAGGACCTTGGATGATAGGAAGGAAACTTGATTAATAAGCTAAGTACTGGGCAGGTATTCTAAGAAATCATTTAGTACAGAGACTTATTGATTAAAAAGTAAACAAATGATTATCAGTAAAGCTTACTTACACCGTTTTTCTAGTTCTATCAATTTTTCTGTTCATTCTTCTCGTCACTAAGCTGTGTGAACCCCAAGGCAAAAAGAACCAATAAATCTTTCTCTGGGCTTGTGAGAATCAAGAGATATAACACAAGTTTTAGGAGAGGCAAACAAAAATCTTGGGATTCATGGTTATCACCTGGAAAAGCAATCGAAAGTGACCACATGCAGAGTTTATAAGAAAAATTAATCAATGACCTTTCAAAAGAAAACACACACGTATCTAGTGGACACTAATCAATAGGAAATAAAACATGCTCTTTTAATTGTGGGATAGCAAACATCAAGTAATGAAAATGATAACAGAGGTTGCAAACACTTTGCCAAAGACAACTCTTTTTCTCATTAATTTAAGACACATACCAAATCTCACCTCCATAGTACTCTCATTCTCTCCCTGCCTCCCACCCCACACACCAACTTTATTCTTCTTTTAGGGTAAATTCTTGCCAATCTTGGTACTGAAATGCCTTCCGGAGTTAACTATTTAGCTTATGTGAAGGAGAGTTTGATATATTTTGCAGCAGAATGCTTGCAAAATGTGTTTCTTGAACTTTTTTTTTCTTATTCACCAACACTGACTGTTCATGGCTGCTTCACGATTATAATGAGAAATTGCCAGCTATGTTGAAATACAGAATCCGGAGTGTGAAAAACTGCTGAACAGCAGTGGCAAATTCTTAATACAAAAGTGACTTCCCTTTGCCTATTAGCTTACTTTGGGGTTGTTGATTCTTGCAAACTGCTTGCGTAGGGAGTAAAAGTTAATTTTAACATTACTCTAGAAACAGAATATAATTACTTAGGTGAAAACCTTAAAGCTAATTTTCTGTTTTATCTTTGGTTTTGAGTGTCCCATTAACAATTCCTGGTGATACTCTGATGAATATCACTGCAGTGGGTTATGCAGAATGTGTCAACATATATGTGAGCCAGATGTGACAACAGGCACATGACATTAGTACATTTTAATTGTAGACATCAGACAGATTGGGGTGGTTCCTTGTGCCTTCTAAGCATTAACTAAGGTTTTTAAAGGTACAAGTTTTTAAAAAGATACAAGCTCCATACCTGCTTTCCAAGCACTGGTCAGGCACCATGGATCTCTGGATGTCTTCCAGTTTTGAATACTAGAAAGAAAAGCCTCTGTCCTCAAATTATTTCCTCCCTACCCCCATTTTTTTTTTCTTCCCTTGGAGGCTCTATTAGCTATAGCTTTGTGTTGAAGAAAGACTGGGAACAAGGAGCATATGGTATGTGAAATCATTTCTCTTGAGCTTTATGTGTTTTGGTGGCTACTGTTGAAAACAATTTGCTCAGTGACGTCACATATACATTACATATGTATTACTAGAAAATGATATACACGTGCATGATATACCATGCGGTTGAAATCCATTAAGTGACTATTCTCTAGCAGTACCCAGAACAATAGATGGTGTCTGTGCTGACAGTCTGTTCATATCTTAATGGTTTACTTAATGATTCAACGGTTTACTGATGGCATTGGTGCTGGGTCATTGGTATATTATTTGCTTGGCAAAGGGTACTTGAACCTCATTAATTAGGCTTAGGAACAGAATAAATACAAATAATCACTTTGCATGCTCAAGAAACCGCACTGAATGGCTAAGGCTGTTTTCCTAACTCCCAAGGAAGACAGAAAGGCACCAGTAACATAAGTGAAGGACACAGTTTGACAACCACCTTATCCTCAGACAACTTTTGCTAAAGGTGAACAATGACTTAATACTGTGTTATGGCAGCACTCTATACGCCCCAAGTTTTAGAAAGTAGAGTCAAGAGTGATCTGGGCTGGGAAAACGCATGCAATTTTAGGTCTGCATGGAAGCACAGGCTCTCCCCACTGGGGAACTCTTCTGAGTAAGACAAAAAGCTGGACCTAGCACCAAGCCCAGGGCGTTAGCCCAGGGCGTGAGAGAGAAGGAACCCAGGAGGCAAGCGCGACGGGTCTGGAAACGGGTCCTTCGTCCGCTCCGCGAGGGCGCTACGCGCAGAGTCCGAGCCCCCGGCGGAGGCGGCGCGGCTCTAGGCCCCTCCCCGCCGCGGAGGCCCGGACTGCTGACGCCGAGCGGCGGCCCGGAGCGGTGGGGGCCGGGCGGGCGGGCGCGAGCGAGGGCAGGGCAGGGGGCCGGCCGAGGCCACTTACGGCTTTAAATATGGATCGCAGGCTCGCGCTCGCGGCACAGCCTTCGTCGCGGCCGCCTTCCCTGAGCCCCTGCACCCCGGCTTGCTTCCGAGGGGCGCCCGGGCTGGGCTCCACTGCTGCAGTGTTAGTTACTGGCAGTAACATCAGAGATCCCCATAAATATGCAGGAGCTGCAGGAGGCAAAGTAGAGTAGACGCCCGCGCTCTCACACACTCGCTCGCCGCGCACCACGCGGGCCGTGTAGACATCGCCCCCGACCCACCTTGTCCCCCTTCCTCGCGGGCCGTTCAGGTTCCAGTGCTGCCTGCTCCGAAGACCCTCCCGCCCCAGCGCCTTTGCCCCGCTCTCCCGCGCTCGCGTCCCTCCGGAGCGCGCACCCACCCAGGCGGCAAAGTTGTGACTACTTGGGCGCGAGTGACCGGCGCCCCGCTCTTTCTGCGCCCCGCGCAGACAACTTCCCGCGGCTCGGCCACGCCGCGTCCCAGGCTCGCGCCTCCGGGGATTCCGCGGCCCCCCAGCCTCCAAACCCGGCGGCGCGCCGGGCAGCGCTTCCGTGGCGGCCGCGGCCGTAGTGGCAGCGAAGGCGGCGGCGGCGGCAGTGGCCGCTGCAGCCCCACACTCCGCCGCCAAACTGGAGGAGCGACGGAAGCCGGACCCCAGGAGGTGAGAGCCTGGCCCCGGCAGCTGCAGGGAGGGTCGGTGGGGTCCCTCGCTCCACCGCGGCGGCGGGCGCGGGCCCGGGGGCCGATCCCGGAGGGCGCGCAGGCGGCCTCGGCGCGCTCCTGGGAGGGAGAGAGAGGTCAATTGCGGGCCGGGCATCCCCGGAGCTGGGCGCGGGCGGTGTGTGGCGGCTGCTCGCGGAAAAGTACTTTTTTTTCCTTCTTAAGGTTTAGAGGAAGAGTTTGGGTGGTCCCGCTCCTCCCTCATTGCTAAGCCCCCTGCGCCCAACTGGGCGTCGTTACGAGGACTGCGGGACCAGTGTCTGCGGCGGGCTGGGCGCAGGCTCAGTGACACGTGTGTTGCTGTGAGCCTGGGTGGTCGCCCTGTGACCAGGCACCTGCTTGAGAGGAACGCATCCCCAAACCCATCACAGGGGGAGACGTGGGGACTCTCGGTGCTGTCAAGGCCGCGGCCCCCACTTCACTGCCTGCTCCAGGACGGAGCATTTACATCTCTCCCTGGCACGCCGAAGGCGGGGGGTGAGTCAGGCAGATTGTCTGCAAGTGGCACACGCACATTCATTGGCAATGGATTTGGATAGGGGAGGCAGAGGTTAAACTGGAATTTCTTTTGGCCAGCGACAGCGGACCTCTTCCTCAGGTACTGGGCAGCATGTGCGTCTTGGCAAAGAGAGGTGATTTCTTTTTTCTTAAGTGCATTTTACTCAGCCGTTGCCAGTGCGTTAATAAGTCACCAAAGGAAGGCAGGAGTTGGGAACTACATCAGCAAACCGCAGCAAGCACCATTAAGACAAAAGTTCTTACAGAACAAAAAGAAAAACTTGAACTTGACGTGAAAGATGGAGAAGGAAGCAGTTCTACCTCTGTTCTGTCACTTTTTTCAGCGCCCTGTAAAACTATTTTTTCTACCCTTTCTTCCCTCTCAAGGCCCTACCTTCTCTGCATAATTGATCACAGCAAGCTCTTTCCATCTTGACACTGAAGAGCAGCGACCCCTTTCGCTTACCCTCCCCATTTCTTTTCCTAGTTCACTTCAGTGGCCTGGAAAGTTGCTCCTAATGAGAAATCAAGAACACTGGGCTGTACTAAACGCTCATTGTCTCAAATCCTGGAACAGTTCCTTTTCTAAGAGACACTGCATTGTACTGTATTTCTCTTTTTTCTTGTATCTTGGAGCTTGGAGTTGTAATATTAACCTGAATTACATTAATTAAAGTGTGCATTGCTCATTTGGGCTTTTTTTTTTCATTGTGATTTGAGTAGATTCGTCAATTCCATTAGAACAATATTCAGTAGTTTTTTTTACAGCCAATGTAATGTCTTTTGAAAACGCTTCTGACTACAACTCTCTTGTGTCTATCACATTAGCATATAAATAATTTACATGGCCATTTTAATACTTGGACTGAAGATATTAGTATAACTTCATTCAAAGGAAGTGTGCCTGTTTATTTTTCTTTAGCTTTATAGCTGAGAAAAAATTTTTACTTTCATTTTAAAGTTAAAAGTTCTAATCTGGTCTTTGTGTTAAATCTTGAAATTGGTTTGCCTTAACCGTATCCCAGACTGTCAAGTAAGATGACGCAGAAACTCTCATATATGTAGGTGGAGACAGGAAAGCAGTACCGCTGCATTAGGAACTGTTGAGGCAGAGAGCATTTGTAGGAGTGGGGGTGACAAGGACAAGATTGGATATTTTGATAGTTCCAGGCATGTTTGAAAAAACTGAAAACTAAGAAACCCCAACATTTTGGATTAAGTGTTCTTCAAATGACGGTTTTGGTGCTATTTGCTCTTTTTTTTTTTGATACAGAGTCTTGCTCTGTGACTGGAGTGCGGTGGTGCAATCTCGGCTCACTGCAACCTCCGCCTCCTGGGTTCAAGCGATTCTTCCGCCTCAGCCTCCCGAGTAGCTGGGACCACAGGCGCATGCCACCATGCCGGGCTAATTTTTGTATTTTTAGTAGAGAAGGGGTTTCACCATGTTGGCCAGGATGGTCTCGATCTCTTGACCTCGTGATCCGCCCACCTCAGCCTCCCGAACTTCTGGGATTACAGGCATGAGCCACCGCGCCCGGCCCCATTTGCTGTTTTGGGGTCATTTCTGGAGACACAAACATACATTAGACACCTTACCCAATGACATTGACAGGATGTACTGTCAGTTTAGATTAATGTATTTCTTTTAGTTCATGTAGTCAATATTAAATAACTTTAGATGTTTGAATGTTAGTACCATTATTTCAGTCTTTTAAATGATTAAGAGACATTTTGGATTTACAAAAATGTTGTGTGAAAGAAATACAGGCAATCAGATTTAGAGGAATAATGCGATAGAAATCGGGTAACCTTTAGGACAACGTCCAGTAGGCCTTGATGGTCATCTCACTTCTCACTGAGTGCTGGCAGGTACAGTTTTGAGGTTCTGATCCCTTGTTCTGATAGCAAGAGTGATGTCTGGCCATGCTTACATCTTAAAGGAAAAGAAAACACTTAAGGAAATGGAAACTAGCTGGTGAATCACGTAAATAAACAGGATTCCTTGCCTGCCTCTGAGAGCACTGTAGACCATGAGGACTACTTTTCTGAGGGGAGAAGAGCCCTTAGAGACTGCTGGACTTAAGTGTGGCAAGATACATTATGTTTTTCTTAGAGTTTCTTTGGCATTATTTAAAATAATATGAATGAAATCTAAGACTGGAGTTGATAGATAAGATTGGGATTGGAAAGAACAAACTGAGAAGAGGAAAATCTAATGAGGATTAAAATTTCTAAGCAGCCTTTTCTTGATTGCTAAATGGAAGGAATCAAAATGCATGATTTGATGGGACAAAGGAAGCTATAAGTAGAACATGTATCTCAGTTGATGCTGTTTCCAAGGACAACCTGTGATTTATGAAATTTATGTATTTTTTAGGGAGTCATTTAGCAAAATGGATAAAGAATATCCAGGAAGCTAGTAAGACTTTACAAAACTAGAACTTACTATTTTTACATAATGTTGGAATCTTAGAGGAAAGAAGGAATAAGTTTTATATAAGGTCAGGGCTAAGTTGTATTCCAAATATATTTTGTTTTTCTCCCAATATTTAAATATTTGATACATTTGGGTTGCAAAATGGAAAATATGCTTCTGTTCTTCTGACATGAAGATGATCTTTTATATTCTCAGTAGTGTATACCTTTGGTTATTTTTCCAGCAATAGGGATGGATTCCCCTTTACTTAGTTCTGCCTAATGTATGTTTACACACACACACGCACATGCACAGACACACATCCCCTAATTTGTAGAGGTGGCTGATTTAATTTTGTGGGAAGCCATATTAACTACTTTCATAATACTTCTGTGGCAGTGGCTTTTGTTGTATTTTGGCAGTCTCAGCAGTGCAGTGACATTTCTAACAAGACATTGAAAGTATGAGAGCCAGATGTAGTGATCTTAGATACTTTGGAGGCTGAGGTGGGAGGATCACTTGAGCACAGGAGTTCGAGGCTGTCATGTACTAATATGCTATAAAATTGTGCATGTGAATAGCTACTGAACATCAGCCTGGATATCGTGAGATCCTGTCTCTAAAAAAATGGACAAGTGGGCCGGGCTCGGTGGCTCACACCTGTAATCCCAGCACTTTGGGAGGCCGTGGCGGGCAGATCACAAGGTCAAGAGATCGAGACCATCCTGGCCAACATGGTGAAACCTTGTCTCTACTAAAAATACAAAAAAATTAGCTGGGCGTGGTGGCGTGCGCCTGTGGTCCCAGCTGCTTGGGAGGCTGAGGTAGGAGAATTGCTTGAGTCCGGGAGGCGGAGGTTGCAGTGAGCCGAGGTCACGCCACTGCACTCTAGCCTGGTGCCTGGTGATGGAGTGAGATTGTCACAAAAAAAAAAAAAAAAAAAAAAAAAAGAGGACAAGTGTATAAATGCTAATGGCTTTATTTACTTGCTGTGGCAAAGGAGAGATACAACTTTTTCTTCCAATCTTCTTAGTGATACAAATAGTTTTATTCCTTAATGATAATGTCTTACCTGACTCTGAAGATAGATGGTTCCAGACTTACTATGTTCGATTTAAAATTTTTCAGAATTACAATGGTGTGAAAGCGTTCACATTCAGTAGGAACTGTACTTCGAGTACTGATAACAACATTCCGTTTTTCACTTTCAGTACAGTATTCCATAAATTACATGAGATATCCA